GAGGGCGGGGCGATTGAAAAGCAGGAGGAAGGCAGGAGGGGGCGGCGGATGTCACTCGGCCGCGGCGGGAAGGCCCCCCAGCACGCCAACCGATCAACCCCGCCACCCCCGGGCCGGAGGGGGGGAGGGGGGAGCGGGGGCGAGTGGCGGCTGAGGGTGCCGGGTGGGCGCACCGCCGCCGTGGCGGCGGGCTCTCCTCGATGCGGCAGCCGGCCGCCCAGCAGGGCTCGAAGGCCCGGCCAGCGCCCCCAGGCGCCGACCCCAGCCAGTGGCCCCTCACGACGGGACGCCGCGCCCTCCCGTCTCTGGAAAGATCCAATCCGCCGGGGCAGATGAAACACACTGGGCCGGGTGTCCCCTGCTGGCTGGCCAGTGCGCGATGGATCATCTCCCCGCCTCCTGCCCCCCCCCCCCCACCGAGGCGGTCGGCACCCTGCTGGCCCCCTCACGGGCAGATGCTTCGGCGGCCGGCGGTTGGGGGGGGGGGGGAGCGGCCGGCGGGGCGGGGCGGGGGGGGGGGGGGGGGGGGGGGGGGGGGGGGGCGGCAGCGGGCCATCTTGTCGCTGGGCGGGCGTTCATTCCCCTAATCCCCCTGCCCTCTTGCGACAAACCATGAGGCAGGCGCTCTAATCATGTGCTGCCTCTCTGTCGGCCCCGGGAAGCCCTGGCCACCCCCCGGCCCACGCCCCCCCCCCCCCCGGGCGAGCTGGGCCAGTTCTTCCACCGGCAGGCGAGCTGCCAGGCAGGCGGGCTAACACTTGCCCCCGGCGTCCCCATTCGGCTGACGCCCCAAGAAAATAAAAAATACCGCCCTGCCACCCCGATGCGCCCGAGCCGCTGCGATGCGGCGCCCCAGCCATCCACCGCGCAGGGGCTCCCCCCGGGCGGTCATGGCGCGCTGACCCCCCCCAGCACCGGCCATCTGCCCTGACGTGAGGGCGAGCGCGTGCGCGCGCGCGCGCGCGTGTCTGTGCTGGCGCCAGGAGAGGACAGGCCGCGCGGCATGCCCCGCCTCTCTCGCCCCCCACGGGCCGATGCCCTTTGGGGCGCCCTCGGCCGCGCCCCCACAGCCCATGGCCGGCTTCTATGTTTACATGTGTGCGCGCTTCTGGTCTAGCCGCCGGGCCGGGCCGGGCGGGCCAGCGCCCCATGCCCTCGCCCGCCCCCAATCACCCCGTATCCCCTGCTTCGGCCCACCGCCCGCCCGCCCGCCCGCCCGCCCGCCCGCCCGCCCGCCCGCCTCCCCCCCCCGCCCCCCATCCCTGGTGGACACCCCCAGCTCGGGCTTGACGGGGAACCTGGGGTGCGGTGGCAGCTCGGGTGTTATTGCCTGCCGGAGCGTGTTATGGGCGCGCTCGCGCGTCGCGCCCAAAAATCCATCCCCGCACACGGGGACCCCTTCACGGCGGCGACGGGGCCCGGAAGGACAGGCGGCCGCCGGTCCGGCCGCCGTCCGGGAGACGCCCGCCCGGAATGGGACCGAGGGCCGGATCGGCCGCCGCTCGGTCGATGCTGCGCGATTCCAGGCACCCTTGGGCGAAGCACCGCTGCTGGAAGGCCTCCCACGGGTGGGCGACCTGCTGCGTGGCGGACTTGGCACCGGCCGCCTCCGCCTCGGAATACCCGCAGTACATGACATAGTGCGACATGAGGAGGGCCCACTCCTCCACCTCGTCCAATGGCTCGAGGGTATTCAACCGGCGGAGCTCCGCTCGGGAGACCACCCGTGCGAACAACTCGTGCAGGTTGAACCCGGCAAAGCCAGTCCGACGGCTCGGGGTCTGGAGGAAGCCGGCCCGCTGGAGGCGCGCCCGATGTGCCCCAAGGTCATCCAGCAGCCCGGGCAGTTGAATGTTGCGAGACTGTGTCCACGACACGGCGGCCACGGTGGAGGTGTGCCGGGGGGAGGTGAATGGCGCGTGCGGGCAGGCCGCCGGGCGGGCAGACGTATTCCCGCATTCGAGAAGCGAGAGGACAGAGCGTGAGACACGGGCCAGGAGGCGGACAATGGACACGGAGACAGCCCAGGAGCGCACCTTCAAATTCTTCACCATCATCTCGCCAAAGTGGTCCCCGCCGCCGATCATCTCGAAGAGCAGCATGCCCACCGAGCTGAACCCAGTGTCGGGGGCCACCAGCCAGGCAAACAAGCCATCCGCCGCGGCCGGGCGGATGTACACCATGACACACTCGAACAGGAAGAGGGTCGGCCGGTGGCGATCGAGACGTGCCACGTCGAAAAGGGCACGTCCAAGGGCCGCCGTGTCCGCGGCATCCGCCGCCACCAGGGCATACTTCTCGGAAGTCAAGCTCAATGGCAGGTCGCCATCTGTGGCGCCCGGCCACGAGGATCACATGTCAGAGGGGGCGGGGCGGGGAGGGAAGGCACATCGGCGGGGGATGCGAGCCCACAGAGGCCGCGGGGCCCTGCGAGCGATCGACACATACCAGCGGCAGACGCGTGAAGCGGACCATAGACCGAGGCAAAGGGCAAGTCCAGGCCCTGGGTTTGGGCAAAGTGGTCGGCCTGCTGCATGGCGGCCATCTTGCGCGCGACCACCTCCGGGAAGTCCACCTCCACGTAGGTGCGGAGGTTTTCCCGGGCACCAGCCTTCGGGCATCCGGGCGGGGCAGGTTAGATCCCGACGGCCGGGGCGTGGCAGGAAGGGCAGGAGCCCCGGGCAGGGGGGGGGGGGGGGGGGCGCGCGAGGCACCGGCCGTGCACATACCGACAGGTAGAAGGGCCGGGTGTCAAAGCCGGCGCCGATGCTGACCACTTGAAGAGACCCCGGGCCGACGCCCGGCTGCCGGAGAAAAGCCTCAACGGCCCAGTCGAAGAGCCTCACACGGATGTACGTCCCGCGGTTGATGACCGGCGGACGCCGGTCCGGGTAGGCCACCTGCCGCAAGGCAAATGCCGGCCGGGTGAGGCGCGAGTGGACGCACCCGGGGTCGATCCGAGCCGACCCCTCGGCCGTCGAGATCACCGCCTCGGGGCCGGCATCGCCGGACAGCGGCTGCATGAAAAAGGGCAAGTAGTCGTCAATGAAGTAGCCAGAGCGCATGGCGGACCTTCAGCCAGGGACCAGGAGCACGGGGAGAGGGCCATGGCGAACGGTCAGCATCCGGGCCGGCATGAGGGCCACAGGCAAGCCGGCACAAGCGCCCTCGGTCGCCGAGGAAGGACGCACAGTTTGCTGAATTGCGCATCGTCATTGGTCAGGCGGACAGCCTCGGCCGGGTCGGCCGGGGTGGAGTTCGACCGGCCGCTCGGGAAGGGCGACGGCTGCCCGGGGCCGCGCGGTGGCCCCCGGTGTGAAGGGGGAAACCGGAAAGGCGGCGGGGAGGACATCGGGCAGGTGCGGATCGACAAGCAGGCCGAAAGCCAAGCCAAGCCGGGCCAACAGTCAAACTGGCAAGAGGACAGGGTCGTGTGGGGGAAGGATGGCAAGTGGAATGGCTCCAGTGGGGGCGGGGCCGCCTCGGGCCAACCGGAGCGGGCTCAGATCAGCCCCCGCGCGAGCTGGCACTGCCGCCGGAGGAGGAGGGGCAGCTTGAGGGACAACCCCCCCCCTCCCTCGCTCTCATGCCAGCGGGGCGGCCTGCCCCAGCCAGGGGGCGGGCCCGACAGTTTCCCGGCCGTGGGCAGCCCAGGAGACCGGGACAGTAGGCACCTGGCTGGCGGGCTGATCTAGCGACTGCCCGGGGACCGGGGTGGGCGCATCGCGCATGTGAAAACGTGTTTCCCGCCTCCGTTGGCATTCGCCCCCGGGGATGGCCCAAATCCCGCATTTTCGCCCCGCCTCCCGCCCGGCCGGTACGCCGATCATTGGGATTTGCCCCGCATGGACGGCCGGCCCTCGCGCCAGCGTCCCGGTCGCCGCGGCACACGGCGCATCTCCGGCGCCCGGTTCCCCGGCACCGGGGGGGGGGGGGGGGGGTGCGACCGGCCGGCCTTCGAGGCGCTCGGGGTCTGGCACCGGTCCCTGCACTGGCGGCCACACGGCCCGGGCCCGGCCCGCCGCTCCCCTCCCCCGGCCCATGCAAACACCAGGCACCTCGTCCCGGGGCCGGGCGACATGTGCTCGAAGTGGGCTCGCTCCTCCCGGGATGGAGAGGGCTGGGAAAGGGCACGGGGGGGGGGGGGGGGGGGGGGACGGCGGGCACCCCGGCAAACTCCCTCCTGATCGGAAAAAAAAAGTCCCCCCCGCCGCGCGACACCCCCCACGCACGCGCGTGCGGCGGGAGGGCGAGGCGCGTGCGCCCGCATGCGGGCACACCACATGCTCCCTCCTTCCCGGTGAGCATGTGCCAGGGGGGGGGGGAAGAACAGGCGGCGGCGGCCGGGGGCAGGGGTGGCCAAGGATCCCACCGATACCGAGCGATCCGAGCACGCGTCCACGCCCGCCGCGGCAGCCTCTTCAGCCGGGCCCGCGCAGGGGGCTGGCCGCTGGACCCAGTCGCCATGCACCCGGCCGCCCTCGCCGCACCCCCCTTTTTCCCCCCCCCCCCCCGGTTCCCTCCCCTCGCCCCCGACTTACGGCGCGCACGCGCACGCATGCGACCACCCCCACCCCGCCCGAGTCCCTGACGCCCCTGTGC